TATAGCTTCAACAGTTTTTCTCTTCCAGGATCCCAGTTTTCATAGTCATGTTGATATGATACTTCTTTAAGGTGAAGGAGGAGACAACCTTTTCTTTCTTTACAAGCAGTTGGCCACTTGACATTGTTGTGTCAAGGTCAGAAAGGGAGAAATGAGCTTTCACGCGTGTGGTTCTAGATCCTGTAAATAGAAAAGAAATCTTTAGGATTCTCCAAGATAAAAACGAGATAGAAGTAATCAAGGATCCTTACCAGAAGTCAGGGGAACGATGGCAGTTAAACTTTCTTAGAGGCTAAGATGATCAAGCTTGAATATCCTATCAATCTAGGGTAGGGCAAAGAAATTCTCAATCCTGTCTTCAGAATCTTCTCCGGGAGGAATTAGCTCGTCAAAGTTGAAAGCTGCAAAAAAATCCAACAAAATATGAATTGTTGAATATCAGGATCTTTAATATAAAAATATGAAACCTACCCTTTATGACCCAAGACAGTGGTAAAAGATTTCCACTAGGAATCGAGTCATGTTTCATGAAATAGTATTTCCCTTTCCAAGAATCATCGTTATGCTTGGACTTCGAAATGAAGGGTGATTTATCAGTCTTAACTTTCAACATGAAACAAGAGTTCCAAAATTTCGAAAGATCATAGGCATAAGATAACTCGTTTAGACCAATATTAAGATTTATGGAACGGTTCAGAGGAGCAATCCGTTAAAGGATCCTCCAAACTGCTGGCATGGCCTAGACATACGAGATTTTGGTTATCTCGAAGAATTCAAAAATAATTACGGAGAAGGGATAAGAAAGACCTAGGGTGAAAGGGTACATAGGAAAACAAACCTAAGTAGAAGAAACAAAATATGGCTAGATCGTTACATTAAAAGGCCTAAAAACAGTACCGGTAAGAAAAGTTCCAAAGGAATTCAAGGCTTCGATACTATTGTCATCAAAGGTACAAATTTCCTCGAAGGACAAGATCTTCTAGTCCACGAAATCATCATCGGGTATAGCAATTATGCTTGCACAGGAGCGAGTTTCTTTTTTTACCATGATTAAAGATGAAGAAGGACGAGGAGAAAAAGGAGACAAGAAAGGTACCTTCGATGATATTCGGTGAACATCGGAAGGAGAGCTAAAAGATTAAGATAAAATCGAAAAGTTGGATATCCTATTTATACAAGAATCATGGAAAGGTAGAAGGGCAATTTGACTTACTCCAACAGCTAGAAATCTACCCGTTGGGATTTAAATTACCCTATTTGTTATAACTTTTATTTATCTTTTACTTTATATTATACATTAATATTTGAAATTTAATCTAAATATTTTGCATGTATAAGTTGGGGGCAATTGTTATGGTCAGGATCCTAGAATTATCTTCAGGATCCTTAATATTTTTGAAGCTTTGGGATCCTTAAGCATATCTCAGGATCTTGATTATTAACATTTATATTTCCTAACACTTTTAACGGCTATGTTCTTCTTTCTTTTTCTCATATGTGCAGAATTAGTCAACATAAGATCCATTATCCAGGAAGAATTGTTTCAACCAAGCTAAAGTCCCGAGAGTACCAAGTCAAATAACGTGCATATATTCATTCTAAAGGATCCTGTAAATATCAGACTTCTTGTTGTTTAGTATAGACTATAAATAACACTTGTAAAACACACACTATACAGACATTAAGCGTTATTATCACTCTTGTATTCGCATTATCATCATCTTCTATGTGATCAACGATTTATATCAATAAAAACAACAAGGCGGGTGATCATTATCACCTTCCAAGGTTTTATATTGGAGCTCCTATTAAGGATCAAGTACTTTCCTTATAACTCATTTGTCTCACTTTGATCATTATTCGATACTTACATTATCTTAACACCAATACAACTTGGTTGAATATTATTTGATCAATTTTTGACCAAAGCAATATATATATATATATATATATATATATATATATATATATATATATATATATATATATGTGTGTGTGTGTGTGTTCGTCGAAATAAAGAATTTAATAAATGATACAAATAAAGAGTACAACTAAAGAGTATATTGATGCCATGGATTTAAGGGACTAAAACTGTAATTAATGCAAATTATAAACTATAATTATTAGAATTAAAAGTGACATGGACTGAATATATAAAATTAAATACTATATAGGTTAGAACTGTAATTAATACAAATATAATACTATAAAGACTAAAAGTAAAACTATCTTTTATATATATATATATATATATATATATATATATATATATATATATATATATATATTAAAGAAGTCTCTTCTAAGGAACCCTAAAGTTCCTAAGGTTTTGGTATAATTGATCCTCTGTTTATGTTTGTGTGTTCAATCTCATCTCTTTTCTGCTTGGTCTTTGGAGTGGGTCCTTTTATATCATTATCTATATTCTTGGTGGACACGTGTTGTTTTATTTTTGCTCCACCGCTTTCTGACCCAATCAGATTCGAATTTACGTAATTCTTTTATGTTACATTCTTTTTGTGTCTTTGTTTACCAAGGATCAATCAACAATCAAAGGTCATGGTGGAAGTGGAACCTACGTCACATGTTGAGGATTCGACTGATGTTAAGAACGGATTTGCTCCACTGACTTAGGTTTGTTCAATGTTTACCACCGCTATTTTATGTTTCTCACCGGAAACAGAAGGCGATGATTATCCTAATTCCTTTCAATTTCTCTTCGATTATATGCTTTCTTGCCAACTGTGAGGCCTCCACAAACCCTACGCACACTCCATCATCTTCTACTTCTTTCCAATTGGATTGTTTCACTTTTTTAGGATAACCCAATCGATTGTTCATATTGAACATCGGTCTCAGCCTTCTCTCACTTCAATACCAAACCGATGAACTCAGTCGGGCCAGGAATTTGATCTCAGGGTCTTTCACTTATTTTTTTTTACAGTCGACGATTGCATCAAGTTATATGAAGTGTGGGTCTTGCATGCTCTTATCATGATTGATTGTTGTTGCTGCAACGGATGGTCATCGGCCCCAACTACCATCAACTAATTTGGTTTAGTAGGAGACAGAAGGTGAGGGAAGAAGGGAATGAGTGTAGGAGCAGGTTGATTCCATCATTTGTTTCTCCAAAAACAACAAAATTATAATCTAAAACCATCTAAAAACTCTAAACTACATGTTGGAAAAAATGCATTCAATACGACTTAAAACGAATGAGATATTCTTGTTTAAAGAATTTCACAAAATACAAAACTTTAAATTTCTTGTTGAAAAGCTGAAATATTTCAGCTTTTATATATTATATTTGAAGGATTATAACTCATCGAATATAACACCAAAAACAATAAACTTATAGTCTAAAATCATTTATAAACTCTAAATTACATGTTGGAAAAAACCGCATGTCAATCCAACTTGAAACGAATGAGATATGTTAATTTCAAAAAATACAAAAGTTTAAATTTCTTACTGAAAAACTGAAATATTTCAGCTTTGATATCTCATCTTTGAAGGATTATAACTCATCGAATATAACACCAAAAATAACAAAATTATAGTTTAAAATCATCTAAAAACTCTAAATTACACATTAGAAAAAACTGCATGTCAATCTGGCTTAAAACGAGTGAGATATGCTTGTTTAAAATTTTTCACAAAATACAATTTTTTTTAAAATAAATCGGTCCAAAACCGGTTTTTACCCGGAACCGGTCGGATCGGACCGATTTTTGCTCAAATCCTAAAACTGAGAACCGGCTAAAAAAGGTCCGGTCCGATGCGGTCCACAGATCCAAATACTCACTCCTAGTCCAAACCCTTCCTTATCATTATGGAAATTGAAACTGTGTTAAACCAAAGAATAACATCTTCAATATTTGTAAAAACTTGAATAATTATGTCACACCACATCAAAATTTATATATATATATATATATATATATATATATATATATATATATATATATATATATATATATATATATATATATATATATATATAACAAAACATTGGCTATAATTTCCTACAAAACTAATATAATTAGGGGAGAGGAAATATACATTACAACACCGCCTAAGCCTAGGTATTAAATCTCTAAATTATGCAGTTTTATCTTAGTAAATATAACGGATTCAGTTTTCACTTGGTATATATTCAATTCTTCATTACATTTCTTTCATCTATTATCGTTTAATCATCTATATTTTCTTTCCTCCATTATCATTTATTACTTCACATCAATGAACATTGCTATTTTACATCATCATGAAGGTCAAATTTAATTAACATTTTTGCTTCCCTATCAAAATTATTGCTTCAAGATTGAATCTGCAACGTCAAGTGTTAATCATGAATCCCCTAATTGCAATCTTTGGCTAATAAAATGACGTAATTTCATGAAGTTTAGTATCTAATCTTAGATGAAGCTATAATGTCTTTTCACTTTTCCCATATAATTATTAGCTTACAATAACCATATCATTTTCATAATTTTCTGCAATCATTAGTCCTTCGATTTGACAAATATGGTGATTGTGTGTATTTAGATGTGCATATAAAGTGATTATTACACCCCATTAACAATTTATAAAAAATAAATAAATAAAATAAAATAAAAAAGTCAACCACTAATGAATTATTTATAATTACCTTTTTTAAAAAACAATGCAATTTCAATCAATAAAAATATTTCAAAAATTAATTAGGGTGTATATATGGTAAATTAAAGTGTCTTTTTAGCTAACCCCTTAAGTAATATCATCATTTAAACTATTTGAAGAAAACTGCTTACAATTTCGTTAATAACTCATAGGAATTGAACCGCAATGCAACGGTAGTGCTTAATTGTTCTAAAAAAAAGTTTAAGCGACTCAAATGGAACTATGAAACTTGATTACCATTTTATGCAATTGTCCCAACTTTTAACACAAATGGACAAATTTCCAAATAAATAAAAAATTAAAAGTCTCCACAACAATGGATCAAAAACAAAATTTGAGTGCTTATAAACCTACTAAAAAAGTTCCAATAACCCAAGTAAACCAACTATAAAACTTGGTTATTGATTAGATACATTGTCACTATATAACATACATGTCTATCATCCATACAAACCATGTGCAACTAGGTAAGGTTGTCATTTCGTATTGGTATATTGACTAATTTCATACCCGATTTTTCAGTCATAAATAATGTTGATCTACAATAATACAACCCTACAAATATTACATATTCTACCCTTGAAAGAACTACACAGGTAACCAAGAGAACAATTTTTTTTTCTCTAGCAACCTAAAGAATGTGAAAAAAAGAACTCCAAACCGAAGAAATAAAAGGTCATCTTCGTGTTGTGTTCATTTCTATTTCTTGATTTGTTGACTCTATTAAATTTCCAAACTTTTCAGCTTCTCTTGCTATTTGAATGTCTGAAGGATTACAATGTTGCATAAACATTTTTATACCAAAACGGGGAACAATTGCTGCTATTTGAATCCCAAGTAAGCAAATCCAAAATGATCCTTTGCTTGCAAGATCAAAGATTGCCCTGCAAAGATTATGTTAAATTCGTTAAGCTTTTTTTATTAAACAAAAAAAAAAAGACATATTTACAAGATGACTAAGGTGTTAGAATCTTTTTGACTTAATGGGATAAGACTTAAGCACTTAATGAAGAGATAACAACTTAATAAGGAAAGTAAAGAAAATGAGGCTTTTCCCATTAAGTTCATATAGACCACCTTTGTACTTTGAAATTAGGGAAAATTGTTATTTCTTGCATTTAACCCAAATTAAAAAGGTTAATCTCATAAAAAGACTTTATATTTTGTGTTTTTTCCGGATCAAACCTCAAATTTGTTTTTTTGCCTGAAAAAGACCTTGTATTTTTTTCATTTTTTTCCAAAAAACCCCTTAACTTTGTTTTTTTCCGAAAAAAACCCTCAACCTTGTAAATGCTTCCAAATAAACCCTCAACTTTTTTATTTTTCTCGAAAAAACCTTCACATTTTACAAATTTTTTTTGGAAAAAAATTACTAAAAGGGCCAGCTCGAAAAATGAAAAAATACAAGGTCTTTTTCACGCAAAAAAAAAAAAAAAAAAATGAGGTTTGATCCGAAAAAACACAAAATATCTTTAATGAGATCAATCCAAATTAAAACCAAAAACTTCACCCATATCATCATACGAGTCATAAATTTCCGATACTCAAAAGATTTTCAACCTCAAATTCAAATCATCTAAAGAAATAATAATAAATGTAAACATACCAGTATCCAGGCAACACAGGGATCACATCAATAGCAATAACACAAACACAAGTCACAAAAATCGATCCCCAAATCGACACATGACTAACCCAACTCCACCTAATAACATCCATACCCAAATGAATATTCACCAAAAACACAACAGCAAGAGTCCAAAGATCTCCAACACTCGATCCATCAATGTCAGTTTTCCAATACGCAAACAAAGGAACATAGAACACAACTATACTTTGCCAAAAGGTATCCGCTATTGTGAGCCAAAACAATCGTGCATTATAGCGTTCATGCCTTTGTCCTGCTCCGTATAACTGAGGGTATTTTAGTAAAGATCTTCTGCTTAGATCTTTGTCTAGAATTGCAATGACTATTGTGGGGAGTGAGGTGTAGAGTACTGAATATAACACACTGCTCCATTCGGTTATTGCTGTTGTTAGGGTGAAGCCAGTGAAAAGGACATACCTGGAAAGAATTGTGTGTATGTTAGCAAATGAAGTATGTTGTGATTTCTTGCATTTTAATCAAAAAAGGAATGTGTAATTTATTTATTACATGTAAATATGTAATAGCAATAACAATTTAGTTATGTTTCAATGTGCATACCTTTATATTTACTAACAATAAAAGCAACATACTTACAGTTCTTTACTGATGTAATCCAAACATATGTAAGTATTTTACAAGTTTGAGGTTACATATTTACTCTTATGGTTAAAGAAATGTAAGTGTGATACTATTATGGGTAAAATAGTAAAAATACATTATGCCATTACAGTAGAAAAAGGACAAATCACAAGACTCTAAATCTTGAACATGAAACAAAAAGAGAAGAGTTTTCCATATGCTATTTCTTTTGACTTTGACCTAATGATTTTCGTATATGCCTTCATGTAACCTAAAATTTAAGACTAATTGGAGATGCACAAACACTTACCAAAATAAAACAAGGACAAAAACGGCATTTCTGTAAAAATTATAGAGTATCATGTAACCCATTCGTTGGTAATTCCAATGTCCATGAACCAATAAAAGAGGAACAAGAAACCGGAATTGGCCCATGGCAAAATCTGATGCCATTACAGCTTGACGCCCCTCTTGCCCACTGATTCCGATTCCGACATCAGCCATTTGGATCATTGAAACATCATTAGCACCTAAAAAACATTACATGAAAACATTTATCAATAGACCTAAATCGATATGATAAGAATTTGAGTATTACTAATTTACTATTTAGCTTATCCAAATTTGAATGGATTTGTTCGAATTTTCACAAAGCTACAGCAAAATGTATTACTTTATTTATGCTACAATGTGTATTACCATTTTCCGTTTCTTTTCATTAGATAAAGTGAAGTTAAAAAGGGAAATGGACAAAAAAAAAATGAATGAGGGCAAAATTTGTAGAAAGTTAATTAATGGGGAAACCTTATTTCCTTGAGTTTCTTTGTTAAGTCGTGCTTTCTTCTTTAAATAAGAAAGAAACGTTCATATATAGCATACCAGATTAAGTTATTAATGATATTGTCATTAAGTATTAATTACATTTGTATTGTTATTTATATCAAAAGATATAATTTAACCATTCAACTTTCTTTTTTTATTTTTTATTTTCAATTACAACTTTAATCTATAGCGGTTCTCAAGTAAATAAACAACAGCATCCCTTCCACACAACATGAGGGTAAAATGGTCATTTACTTACCATCACCAATGGCAAGGGTCATGTCATCTGTCCTATTCTTTATCAATGCAACAATCCCAGCTTTTTGCAATGGAGCCACTCGACAACATACTACCACTGCACAATTACTCGCTAATTGGAACAACTGAAAAAACAAATATTAAAAAAACGTAAAAATTATAAAAGATTAAACTCAAAAAAAGGAAACATTAGGTTCAAAATTAATCAACAATCACACCTTTTCTTCAAGCTCGGTATCAAGAATATACACAAGACTCGTTCCATCAATAACCAAAGCAATAGAAGTCAAATCATCCGACACTACAAAATTCTTACATGTAATCAATCCATCTTCCAAACTCTTCCCACATGAAATTTTAGAGTTACAATTAATCACTATTTGGCTCATGTTACTTGTAAGAAGCCTAGAAGAGTATCCAATCGAAATAGCGGTTTCTTGTTTATCGCCTGTTAAAACCCAAACTTTAATATCTGCTTTCCTTAAAGACTCGATTGCTTCCGGGACACCTGTCTGCAATCGATCTTCGATTGCAGACGCCCCAACAATCTCAAGATTGTTTTCTAAACTAACCGCAACTTTTCTAAGCAATGCCACTCTACCATTTACAGCAGTACTGGCAGTCTCGTAAGCAGACTGCCAGTGTTGGAATTCGGGAACACTGAGTTCCCGAATTCCAACGACCAGGGTACGTAATCCGATTGAGGAATACGCCTGGAGATGGGATTCAGTGGCTCTTGTTATATCCAAGCTAAAGGAATTATCGATGATTGTAAACATGGAAGTGTCTGCTCCCTTAACAATGACTTTTACAGTTCCATTAGGGTAACCTAATATCACTGACATCCTCTTTCGGTCACTATCGAATTCGTGCATTCCAAGAACATTGAATCTGTGCTGTCATGATTGGTAATTCATTAAATTATAATCGAAGTAGACAAATATATATAAAAGGGTATTTACGTCTTTTGTATAGTTACTAACATTAACATTAACATTAACATATTACATACCTTTGTCTTTCTCCTTGAATATCGATAACTATGTGGCCAGAGGTTCGTTCCATAAGCATAAAACCATAAGCAGCTGCAGCATAAACAAGTGCTTGTTCATCTGGAGATTCCCCTTGATAATCTACCAACTTTTCAGTAGGATCAGATGTGTCAACAACAATGGGGACAATTGTATTACAAGCAGCCAATGAAAGGAAGAAATCATGAATCCATTTGTTAATGCTAATGCTATTGCTACCCTTTACATTATTTCCAATTTTTGATAACTCAAGTAGCTTCATGTCCACTTTTACCTTCATTTTTGGCCTCCAAATCTGCTCGTTTACTAAAACCAAATAAAGACATGAAAAGATTACACCCTTTTCGATAAAAGATTGGTTGAGAAAGAAACGGAAGCATTAAATAGAGAAAAGTTTGCACCTTGAATGAAGTATCCATCAGAATCTGTTTTCTCCCCACTATAATCTACACCGAAAATGCTTGCGTGTTTAAATTCCATCTTGTTTTCAGTTAAAGTACCCGTTTTGTCAGAGAATACATACTTTATTTGTCCCAAATCCTCATTTATATTCAAAGCTCGACATTGAAACCTAGAGTTTGATGATTCATCATACATCTTATCATCTCGGATCATGAAATAAGCCTGACCAACACGCACAAGCTCCATGGAAATATACAGTGAAATCGGTATCATAATCTGGAACACAATCACTGACATTAGAAAAGTGAAGAACACCTCCACACCTAAACCAGAATAGTTGTAGTTCTTCACTTGTGGTTCAGAGTAGTCTTTTAGTCTATAAAACTGTAAGATTTCAAGATCATTTTCATATCGGATCAACCAAACACCAGCACAGACTGAGACAGCTGTGCATAAAGCAACAAGAAAGATAGACAACAAGATGATCTCACGATTCATACGGGTTTCCAATCGGCTTCTTTTTGAAGGAGCTCCTGAGCTATTAAGCATGGCTTTTGTCTCCCTTCCTGCATATACAACTACTCCAATAGCCCAATTAGTGTTCTTTAACACACACCCACGAAGAACAATGTTTGAAGGGCCAAGTGAAAGACGCTTCCCATCAATCTCCATGGTGGCATGGAAGCCATAGATGTTTCTATTGGGCTTCTCACACTTGATTACCCCATTGATCCTGTCTTTTTCAGGGGTTCTTGAAAGGGTTTCTTGTTTTGCATATCGTGTCTTGAGATTTGATTCGCCATCTAGATTTATGGTTTGGATGTAAGCAACACCAGTTGGATCACTAGTGGAGAGAAGAACGATGTCAGAAGGAATGGTGTCATCTGCTGAAAATTTAATGATCTCGCCTACTTGAATGTCTTTACATTTTTTCTGTTCAAATCTATCGTTTACCAAAACAGATGACATTCGATTGTTTTCAATTCGATCTGATCTGTGTCGCCTCCAGTCTTCATAAGCATCTTTAATGGCTGTAACTAACAGTACGATTGATAGTGGCAAGATGGAGGCACCTCGCCCAAAAACAGCAAGCTGAGGAAGCTGATTGAGAATGGCGATAATAAGGAAATATATGTAGGCGACTCTATGGAATTGCTCAAATAGGTTTCTAGGTAAGAAGCTAAAAACGGAATATTTGGCTGTTCTGATAGAATTTCCAGCAAATTCAAACCTTTCGTTTGTCTTTAAGGCATCGTTTACATAGACTAACCTTGCATCCTCAACGTTAATCTCTCTATGGGACACGCTAAACCCTTCGGGATCAGAAGCACCTCCTCGAGATCCATGCGACAGTCTCTTTGATCCCAGATTGACAAAGCTGAGTTCTTGGACTGAGTTGGCACTCCAACTTTTGGAATGAATCTCCCCTTGGGAAGAAGTATTTGGTGATTGCTGTTGGGAGTTATCATTAACAATCTGGGAATCATCTAAATTCATACCGGATTTTGATGATGGAAATTGAAGGCGTTGATCAGAAAGGGTTGATTTGTGGTGATGATCTGAGGAACATCACACTCGCCTCTATATCTCTCTTGAGATTGAGCAGCTCATGAGCAATTCACTCTAAAATACAACAGCAACCACAACATATAGAAGATTGCATGCGTCTACAATGTGTTCGATGAAAACCCCAAGTAGAAATTTTGAAGTTGAGTTACTAAATTAGTACATGGGAACTGAGGGTTTTTGAATCAACAGGAATAACTTACGTTCTTGAGCAAAAGCAACAAGGTAAAGATCCATGAAAGCTTATACCAGTCGATGACAGCGACGACCCTCTTGCGCAAAGATGATTGGTGCATTTATGATGTGAGGGAGGAAGATCCAAAGACATTTTACCTAAAATAGACGGAAAACTGGTAGTGGGTGCAACGGTGGATCGCAGAAAATTGGAAAAAAGGAATTGCCGTCCTATGAAGTAAAGAAAAAGGGGAGAGATAGTGTGGTGGAGGTGTTTAAGAAAAAAAAAAGGTTTGGACATGAGATTTATAAATGGCATAGTCAATCATGCATTCTTCCATGCCCTCCATCGGATAAGAAAAAGTACCTTTTAGGCTTTTATACCCATAACTATATAGTGTTAAAGTAAATTAAACATGTGGTCTTGTGGTTTGCCCAGATTCGGTCTTAGGATTTTTGATATAGATGGTCCTTGTAATTTGCATTTGCTGCACCGTTGGTCCCCGAGCCTAGCGCCCATTTATTTCCAACGTTATTGAGACACATGTAGCCCTAACGTGACGGCAAAACAAACATTTCCCTTGGACCCTAAGACGCTCATCGATTTGTTGCCACAATTAAGCATTAAATGAGATGTTGGTGTTGACCTTTGTTTCTCGTATTAATGTGAGAGCAAAACAAACAGTTGGTCCCCGAGCCTAGCGCCCATTTATTTCCAACGTTATTGAGACGCATGTAGCCCTAACGTAAGGGCAAAACAAACATTTCCCTTGGAGCCTAAGACGCTCATCAATTTGTTGCCATAATTAAGCATTAAATAAGATGTTGGTGTTGACCTTTGTTTCTCGTATTGTTGATGATCAATCCAAGAAACCTCATTCGCCATCTATAAACTTCGTCCTCATATCATATGGCATTGCTACAAGATTGCGATCAGAGGCAGATCCAAGGGGATCTCGGGGTAGCTCGGGATACCCCTCAAATCTTTTTCGGTAGTGTAATTTTTGTTTACGGATTCTTTAATTTTTTTTTCAGTATAATGTATATATATGTATCCCTTCAATTATAATCACAAACAAATGGTAGTGATATTGGTTGAGGTGTTGACTTATTGAAGTAAAGCCCTCAAGTTCAAGTCTTGCTCTTTACATATCATTTGTCTATTTTTTTGTTTTTATTTTCCCAGCTATTCTGTCCCACATCGCCAAACATATCTAAACTTAACCATTTTTGTCAATTATATAAGTCAGTTATCCTAATACTTCATTTGATATCTACTTTGAATCTCATATCTATTCAACTTCATGTTTATATAATAAGACTTGAGGTTACTTAAGGATTCGATTGAAGTTTGGTCGTTTGGGTTTACAACTGAAACCGAACCGGGTAAACTCAAGTACCCTGGAAAAAAAATTGGGTTACCCTGAATATAAAATTGGGATACCCCTTTACTTTGATCCTGGCTCCGCCATTGATTGCGATCATAATCATCTGGGAAGAAATTCTTAAGCAAATCAAGATGTAACAACCTGTATCATGGAGTATGCATACCATTAAGTGTGGATATGATGGAAGATTATAATAAGTTCATAAATGTGATCTTTTACCTTAACGCTTCATCTAGATGAGTTACTGTTTACAAATTTCTTATTTTTTTAATAGTGAGTTTTCCAAAGGGTATATGTTCACATTGAGAATCAACCATGGTGGGTTTTTCACCATGGAAGAAAGTATGTTTATGGAAAGGTAATTTACACGGAATATGTTGACATAGAAGATTTTACCATATATTAATTGAAACTTCATGTTGAGAGAAATAAGGTATGTCAAACCTGGACCCATTTGTTGGATTAGATGTCTAAACTCATAATCATAATTAGTATATACTTAAATTGATAGTAGCACGGTCCTTTTGAGTTGCCCTCAAAATTAGCAACTAGACATAATGATTTTGGAGAAAGAGGTTGATTTATTGTTTGATTAATTAATTGAAATAACTAATTTGTTAATATATTATGGGAATGATATATTAATTAGAAATAGCAATATTTAATTAATATTTAATCAGAAATTAATTTGAATTAATTTTGGGATTAAATAAATTAATTAAGAATGAAGGGACTAAAGTACAATTGTTCAATAGTTGAGCAAGAGGCAATCTAGAACCCTCCATTAGGCTTGGAAGGTTTCTTCATGGCTAAGGGAATCTAGTATAATCTATGTGTAACACTCCAAATCATGTATTACCATTCAAACCCTGGAATTAATAAATAAAAGCAGAATGGTCCCTTGAGTACGCTGGATGTACTCTGGGAGTACGTTTAGTGTACTAAGCATGAATGAACGTGGAAGGTCAGCACGTACGTTGGGCGTACCAAAGGGTACACGGGGCATATGTGACGGGCATGCAAACCCTAATTTCTGGACTTAAGACCTATATAAGCATCATTATCTCATTTGAGCTTCACCCTAACCAGCCTCCTTCACCCTCAAACGTCCCTGAAAACCCTAGAATCATTAGAGTGTGTGATCTTGAGCTTGTGAGTACCTTAATACCATCTTCTTGGTGTGTTTTCTTCAAGGAAAAGGAGGGAAATAGCTTGAACGAGGAAGGGCTTTTGGATCTTGCATTTAGATCAGCTTAAAGAGCTTAAGGAGGTAAAAAGCTTTCTCCTTGGTCATCATTTTCATTTCTAGGGCTAGGGTTTTCTCTATAGTCCCTTTTTGTGTTCTTAGACCATCTCTTGAGAGTTTGAGCAACTCCAGAGCTTAGGAGGAGTAGATCTGAGGTCCCTTGACTCATTTATACCATAAAATGAAGTCTTGATGGGTGTTTTGATCTCATGCATGGATTAAGACTCTTGGAAAGGGTCTTAATGGGTTGTTGGGAGCATATGGAACATGCAAAGGCATAAAGTTGCCAACTTTATGCCTTAGGACGTCTTAATGCACTCAGATCTATAATTGGGCGTTAAAGTCACAAGCATTAAGTAGTTAATGGTCATTTTTGCATGCCAGACTAGTACGTTGTGTGCTGCGTCATGTACGCAGCGCGTAGTGACTCAAACGCTAGTATGCAGAGCGTACTCGAGTGGTACGTCGGGAGTATGCACCCCAGTGAGTTTTGGGCTTCGTGTGGGCTTGTAAGCCTTTTGGGCCTCCTTTATTTTTGGGCCTGATCATATTTTGGGTTGGTGGTCCAGTTAATCTGTTTTGGGCCATAGGTGTTGGTTGGGCCATATGGCCCATTCATAGTTTTGGATATAGACTTTGGGCCCATTAGCAAAAGGGGGACTTTTAGGCCATTTGTAACACCTGGTTCCTGGTATGTATTTTAATCTATGTATTTTTGGCATTTTAGCTGGGACTCGGCGAGTTGTAGGCCCGACTCACCAAGTAGAGACGAGATTGTGAACACGTTTAAGTTGGCAACTTAGCGAGTCCATACCCTGGACTCGACGAGTCCGCCAGACTGGAAGAAACCCTAGATCCATGGGTTTTGCATCCTATTTAAACCATGTTATGAGCCCCAAACTCACCCCCTTCACTCTCAGAGCATCCTTAGCAAACCTTAACCCTCCTCTTTGTGATTTGAGTGTTTGTGTGATTTTCCTTGAACTTTGAAGAAGAGAATGAAGGAAGGACCAAGGAGAAGGAGAAGAACAAGGATCTAGAACTCAATCCAGAGTCCATTGAGGTATATTTCGGATCTTTTCTATTGCCATGATGATTTTTCTTTTAGAAACACCATTTAAGCCATCTTTATCCATTTCCTAGCTTGATTGTAATATAGAGATCATATTGAGTGGAATGGCCTTTGAATCTAGCTAGGCTTGAGCTTCAAGAGCCCATATCTATTGCCTTTATGGAGCCATTTTGCATGAAAGCCCTAGATCTACTCTTTTAAGTGTCTTTTGAGCCTTTAAATCCCTTTTCATGCATATGTACACGTAAAGTTGGAAACTTTACGTGGTAAACAAGCCTTAGGAACCCAGATCTATAAATTGTATGCAGTGGTTTTGAGCAGAATCGATTGTATAGAAGTTGCATGCAACCGACTCGATGAGTCGTTCTTCAGACTCGGCGAGTCGGGTCGCGAGTCCTCGAGTTTTACCCTTCTATGTAATGTGTCGAGTGGAACCAATGAGTTTTAGGGGGACTCAGTGAGTCAGAGATCAGAATCATCCATGGAGGGACTCGGCGAGTCAATGCCCTGACTCGACGAGTCCAAGGCAATCTTCATATCTCAAGAACAGACTCGACGAGTTGTTCATACAACTCGGTGAGTCCCAGTTGGAGTATTCATATGATGAAAGAGAACTCGATGAGTTGTTCATACAACTCGGTGAGTCAGATGTAGATTGACTAAGTGTTTGTATCAAATAGGAACTCATCGAGTCTATGCCAAACTTGACGAGTAGTAGTGAGCAGAATTAAGAAATGAGAGTAGAGGCTCGACGAGTTGGTGGCCCAACTCGACGAGTCAGGTCAACTGTATGTTGACTTTAACCTAGAGGTTGACTTTAACCAGGGGTAAAATAGTCATTTTACCCTCAGTATAGTTATCAGTATTTGATTGAGTGTACTTATGGAAATTATAGCCGGGGTGAAACCGGAGCAGCAGCAGACAGACTCCAGAGTAGTTCATTCAGCAGCTAGACTACGAGTTGAGTCTTCCTTCCAGTAGGAACGGGTCTACGGCCACAATGTCGGTCCGTTTAGTTAGCAGTAGTTCCGGACCTCGGTCCGATGCAGTAGTTAGATTGCTTGATGTCTTTGTGATTCAAGTATGTTTTGTATTATATGTTCCGGACTTCGGTCTGATGCAGTATGTAGTATATGTGCTTATGCTAGTTGATATGTTATGCTATGCCATGTTATGCTCAGTCGGTTTCTGGACTTCGGTCCGATGCAGGGGACAAGGTCCCAGTTAGTTCCGGATTTCGATTCGATGCAGTTAGTTATGGACTTCGGTCCGATGCAGGGGGCAAGGTCCCAGTTAGTTCCGGGCTTTGGCCCGATGCAGTTTCCGGGCTTCGGTCTGATGCAGTGGGCAGGGCCCTAGTTAGTTCCGGATTGCGGTCCGATGCAGTTTCCGGACTTGGATCCAATGCAGTGGGAAAGGCCCAGTATGTGTTTATATGTTACTGTATGTGGTAGTTTGGGGGAGCTCACTAAGCTTCGTGCTTACAGTTTCAGTTTTGGTTTCAGGTACTTCCGCAAGTAAGGGGAAGAGCTCAGGATGATGGCATCGCACACGGCTTCAGTTCTTGTCCTGGGAGTTGATTTAGCTTTTCATTGACATGATTTGATACAGTCTTGATACAATTTTCTTGTGATACTTTG